CACTGAGTGTTCCCCAGAGTGTTCCCTGACTCGCACCAATGTCTTCACCCAGGAAGGTACCTGGGAACTCTGCATAGTCCACTTCAGTCCAGTGCAGCACACATTCCTGTGCAAGGCATAGTGCAGGAACCATGGAAAGAGGGGGAAACATGAGGAAGACCACCCCTCACCTCCAGGAGTGCTCAGCGGAGTGGGTGAGATCAATGCATACTCTCCTGAAGGAGGGCACCTGAGGTGATGGGGTGAGCCTGCAGCAGAAGTCCATCAGGTTTCTGGCTAGAAAGTGTAAGCATGGAGGGCAGAGAAAAGCATCTCAGCCAAGTGCTGGGGCAGCGCTGGGTGGGTGACTACCCTTGGAAGCAGTGTATCTGCCAGATACTCTCCATCAAATCCCTGGATGTTCCAAGTAGGAGGCGTCACCCCTCTTTTTCAGCATTTCAGAGGCTTTACAGGTGTGGAAAATGGAAAGGTGAGCAGCAATGGCCACAGAGTGCAGAAACACATATGGACCATTTCTGGTCAGTGAGGAGTCACTGCAGAGGGTCTTGGTGCCTTTCCTTGGAACAGGAGATGCCAATTTCTTTCTTTCTTTTAATTTTATTTTTTATTTTTTTTTATTAAGTACTATACACATAGATCATGAATACATTTATGAGTATGTGGGGTACAATGTATTAATTTTTTTATACAATCTGATGTGGTTACATCAAACCAATCATCATAGTTTTCACCTCATTTACTTGATTATTGTGTTAAGATATTTATGTTCTACACTTGATATATTTGACTTGTACCCTTGCAATATTCTCCATAGTTGTAGTCCCGCCTTTTGCCCTCCTTCTATCAAACCTTCCCGGTCCCCTCCCTTCCCACTCCATTTATCTCCTTCATCCTGGGCTATAGTTGTGTTCTATTTTTCATAAGAAAGTGTGAGTAAGGCCATTGCCGGTGGCTCAGTAAATAGGGCACTGGCCCCATATACTGAGGGTGGCAGGTTCAAACTGAGCCCCAGCCAAACTGCAACAAAAAAAAATAGCCAGGCGTTGTGGCAGGCACCTGTATTTCCAGCTACTGGGGAGGCTGAGGCAAGATAATCGCCTAAACCCAGGAGTTGGAGATGGCTGTGAGCTGTGTGATGCCATGGCACTCTACCAAGGGCAATAAAGTGAGACTGTCTCTACAAAAGAAAAAAAAAGTGTGAGTAACTGTAAGTTGGTTTCATAGAAGTACTGAGTACATTGGATACTTTTTCCTCCATTCTCGAGATACTTTACTCAGGAGAATATGTTCCAGGTCCTTCCATGTAAACATCAAAGAGGTAAAGGCTCCATCTTTTGTTAAGGCTACATATTATTCCATGGTATACATATACCACAATTTATTAATCCATTCAAGGGGCGATGGGCACTTGGGCTTCTTCCATGACTTAGCTATTACTAATTGAGCTGCAATGAATAATCTGGTGTAAATATCTTTTTTGCAAAGTGATTTTTGTCTTTTGGATATACTCCTAGTAGAGGAATTGCAGGATCCAAGGCAAGTTAATTTCTAGATCCCTGAATGTTCTCCAAACTTCTTTCCAAAAGGAACATATTAGTTTGCATTCCTACCAGCAGTGCAGAAGTGTTCCCTTTTCTCCACATCCACACCAACATCTCTGGTTTTGGGATTTTTTTATGTGGGCTACTCTTACTGGAGTTAGATGGTGTCTCAAAGTGGCCTTGATTTGCATTTCTCTGATAATTAAAAATGATGAGCATTTATTCATGTGTCTGTAGACCATGCACCTGTCTTCTTCAGAGAAGTTTCTCTTCAGGTCTCTTGCCCATAGTTAGATGGGATCACTTGTTCTTTTCTTGCTAATACATTTGAGTTCTCTGTGGATTCTGGTTATCAGACCTTTGTTGGAAACATAACCTGCAAATATCCTCTCCTTTTGGGGGCAGTCTACTTGCTTTATTTACTCTGTTTTTGAAAGTGCAGAAGCTTTTTAATTTGATCAGATCCCAGTAATGTAATTTTGCTATTGCTTTAACTTCCCTGGGGGGTCCTCCTCATAAAATTTTCTCCCAGGCCAATTTCTTCAAGTGTTTCCCCTGCACTCTTTCCACAAATATTTATGGTTTCATGTCTTAGATTTAAGTCTTTTATTCAGCGAGAGTCAATTTTTGTTAGAGGCGAAGGTATGGGTCCACTTTTAGTCTTCTACAAGTCACCAGCCAATTCACCCAGCACCATTTGTTAAATAGGGAGTCTTTCCCTTAATTTAAGTTTTTGATAGCTAATTGAAGATCAAATGATGGTAAGTGTCTGGATTCATCTCTTGTTTCTCAATTCTGTTCCATACATCTACCTATTTTTTTGTGCCAATACCATGCTATTTTGATCACTATAAATTTATAGTATAGTCTAAAGTCTGGTAGTGTGATTCCACCTGAGTAATGTCTTGACTATTCGAGGTTTTTTCTGTTTTCATATAAAGCAAAGTACTAGTTTTTCCAGATCTTTAAAGTATGACAGAGGTACTTTAATGGGGATTGCATTAAATCTGTATATTGTTTTGAGTAGTATGGACATTTTAACAATGTTGATTCTTCCCAGCCATGAGCATAGCATGTTTTTCCATTTGTTGACATCTTTGGCTATTTCTTTTTTCAGAGTTTCATAGTTCTCTTTATAGAGATCTTTCATGTCCTTTGTTAGGTACACTCCCAGATATTTCATTTTCTTTGGCACTACTGTAAAGGGAATAGAGTCCATGACTATTTTTTCAGCTTGACTATTGTTGGTATATATGAATGCTACTGATTTGTAAGTATTGATTTTGTATACTGAGATGCTGCTGTGTTCCTTGATCACTTCTAAGAGTTTTGTGGTTGAATCCCTGGGGTTTTCTAGGTATATGATCATATCATCTGCCAAGTTTGATCCCCTCTCACCCTATATAGATACCTTTGATTGCCTTCTCTTGCTTCATTGCAATGGCTAAGACTTCCATTACAATGTTAAAAAGCAGTGGAGACAATGGGCAACCTTGCCTGGTTCCTGATCTGAGTGGAAATGTTTTAAATTTTACTCCATTCATATGATATTGGCTATGGGTTTGCCGTAGATGGCCTCTTATCAGTTTAAGAAATATCCCTTTTATACCAATTTTCTTAAGTGTTCTGATCACAAAAGGATGCTGGATATTATCAAAAGCTTTTTCTGCATCAATTGTGAGAGTCATATGGTCCTCATTTTTTAATTTGTTTATGTGATGTATTATATTTATAGATTTATGTATATTGAAGCAGCCTTGAGAATCTGGGATAAAACCCACTTAGTCATGGTGTATAATTTGTTTGATGTGTTGCTGGATTCCGTTTGCTAGGATCTTATTGAATAATTTTGCATCTATATTCATTAGAGATATTGGTCCATAATTTTCCTTTTTTGTTGGGTCTTTTCCTGGTTTGGGGATGAGGGAGATGTTTGCTTCAGAGAATGTGTTGGGAAGTATTCCTTCCTTTTTCTATGTTTTGGAAAACCTTTTGGAAAAGGTTAATATGGGTACTAGTTCCTTTTTAAAGGTTTGATAAAATTCTGCTGTGAAGCCATCTGATCCCAGGCTTTTGTTTTTGGGAAGATTTTGTATAGTTGATGCTATTTCAGAACTTGAGATAGGCCTGTTCAACATTTCCACTTCCTCCTGGCTAAGTCTAGGAAGATGGTGTGATTCCAAGTATTGGTCAATTCCTTGCAGATTTTCATTTTTCTGAGAATAGAGTTTCTTGTAATATTCATTAAGGATTTTTTGAATTTCTGAGGAGTCTGTTGTTATTTTGTGTTTACCATTTCTGATTGATGAAATTAGAGATTTTACTCTTTTATGTCTGGTTAGGTTAGCCAAAGGTCTATCTGTTTTATTGACCTTTTCAAAAAACCAACATTTTGATTCATTGATCTGTTGTATAATTCTTTTATTTTCAATTTCATTTAACTCTGCTCTAATTTTGGTTATTTCTTTTCTTCTGCTGGGTTTGGGGTTGGAATGTTCTTCCTTTTCCTGTTGCTTGAGCTGTCCCATTAAGTTGTTGATTTCCTCTCGTTCCATTCTCTTGAGGAAGGCTTGTAACGCTGTAAATTTTGCTCTTAGGACTGCCTTTGCACTATCCCAGATGTTCTGGTAGTTCATGTCTTCATTATCATTTTGCTCCAAAAATTTGGTAAGTTCTTTCTTAATCTCATCTGTGACCCAGCTATCATTTAGCATAAGATTATTTAGTTTCCATGTCTTTGTGTCAGTTTGCAGATTCCTGTTGTTACTGAGTTCAACTTTTATTCCATGATGGTCCGAGAAGATACAAGGAATAATTTCATTTTTAAAAATTTGCTGAGGTTAGCCTTGTGACCTAAGATGTGATCAATTTTGGAGGATATACCATGCACTAACGAGAAGAATGTGTATTCAATTTTGTTAGGATGAAATGTTCTGTATATGTCTATTAAATCCAATTGTTGAATGGTTAATTTTAAGTCAAAAATGAGATGCCAATTTCTTTTTGGGCAAAGAGTATTTCTAGTTGGTGGATAACATCCGCATTTTGCTTTGAATTAAATTTCATCAATACAAACTTTGTTTTTTGTAATTTTTACTTCTCCCTTTTTATTTTCTGTATTTATTTTCTCTCCTGTTTATTTTTGTATGTTGTCAAAGTCCAAAGCATTGCTTAATAATTAGTTTCTAAAGTCACTTTGCAGTATTAGGCATGATTTACTTGTAGGGCAAAGACAATAAGGTAGTCTTATCTGGAGAGCCTAAAAGTGGGTGACTCAGCAGCTGCCCCATTCGTTATTGTGGTTATGAGTCAATTACTGGCAGCAGTGTGATTTGTTCTATGAACATGTGCTTTCACGCCCTCTTCTGAGCACAGGTTTTGTGTCTGCCTTCTTCCTCCTGCTGTGTCACTGGAGCTCAGTATCCAGGCAGCCCAATTGCTCTGGGCTGTGGTTCTGCGATGGCTCCTACAGGGCTGCCCTGCCTGCTCCCACTGTGTGCGTGTCTGCTGCTCACACCTGGCCTGGCCGAGGCAGGCAAGCTGCTGGTGGTGCCCATGGATGGGAGCCACTGGTTCACCATGCGGTTGGTTGTGGAGAGACTCATCCAGAAAGGACATGAGGTGGTTGTGGTCATGCCAGAGGTGAGCCGGCAACTGGGAGAACTAGAAAATTGTACAACAAAGATTTATAGAACTTCTTATTCCTTGAAGGATTTGGACCGTGAGTTCATGTATTTTGCCAATGATCAATGGGAAAATCGGAGACAAACTTTATATTCTCTTTTATTGACATCAGCCAGAGGTGTTTTTGAGTTATTTTTTTCACATTGTAGGAGTTTGTTTAATGACCAACAATTAGTAGAATACTTAAGAGAAAGCTCTTTTGATGCTGTGTTTCTGGATCCTTTTGATATGTGTGGCTTAATAGTTGCCAAGTACTTTTCACTCCCCTCAGTGGTCTTCAGCAGGGTGGTATTTTGCCATTATCTTGAAGAAGGTGCACAGTGCCCTGCTCCTCTTTCTTATGTTCCCAGAGGTCTCTTAGGGTACTCGGATGCCATGACTTTCAAGGAGAGACTACGGAACACTCTCTTCCACTTGGAGGAACACTTGTTGTGTCCCTATTTTTACAAACCTGCCTTAGAAATTGCTTCTGAAATCCTGCAGACACCTGTCACAGCATCTGATCTCTTCAGCCACACGTCAGTCTGGTTGCTGCGAAATGACTTTGTTTTGGAAACTCCCAGACCCCTGATGCCTAACATGATCTTCATTGGGGGCATCAACTGCCACCAGGGAAAGCCATTGCCTAAGGTGAGTTGTCTCTCCTGTAGCAGAATAGGCATAATCTGGTTTTGGATCAAAAAAAAATATTCCTTACTGGACTATGAATTCTTATTTACGTTCATCAAATTTGGAATTGCTTTCTGGTTTAATGAATTATTTTGTGTTAATGCACTTAACTGTGAAGTAGCAAACTGTCATTTGATACACACATATACACACTTAATATAGTTGTACATAATTTCCAAGCCGCACTTTTTTTTTTTTTTTGAGAAAGAATCTTGCTCTGTTTCCCCTGGTAGAGTGCAGTGGTGTCATTATAGCTCATAGCAGCCTCAGACTCCTGGGTTCAAGCGATCCTCCTGCCTCAGCCTCTTCAGTAGCTGAGACTGCAAGTGCCCACCACATCTCACTAATTTTTCTATTTTTTGTAGAGATGGGGTGTTGCTCTTGCTCAGGTTGGTCTCAAACTCCTGAGCATAAAGGAGCCTCCTTCCTTGGCTTCCCAGAGTGCTAGGATTACTGGTGTGAGCTACTATTCCTGCCTGAAGCTACATTTAAAAAAAAAATAGAAATAGGGTATTAATATGTTGCCTAGGCTGGCCTCGAACCTTTTTGGGCTGGATCCATCCTCTCAGCTCTGCTTCCTGAGCACCTAAGATTATATGCTTATGCCACAATTCCCAACTACCAGGCTTTACCTTTTTTTTTTCTTCGCGATAGAGTCTTACTTTGTTGCCCTCGGTAGAGTGCTTTGGCATAACAGCTCACAGCAAGCTCCAATGCTGGGGATGTAGAGATTCTCTTGCCTCAACTTCTCAAGTAGTTGGGACTACAGGCATCCACCACAATGCCTGTCTATTTTCAGAGATGAGGCCTCACTCTGGCTCACTTTTTAACACTGTTGGTGGAAAAATAATGAGAAACACAGGAAGAAATGCAGCTTCCCTCCCTTTTTTGTTAATCCTGGAAAAATGCTCTTAGCAGTTTTGTATGCATCATTTTAAATTTTTGAAATCATTTTCTGTTTACCCAGATAGCTAATGTAAATTCTTGTATAGCTCTCTCTCTCTCGCTCTCTTTTTTTTTTTTTTGAGGCAGAGTCTTACTATGTCACCCTCGGTAGAGTGTTGTGACATCATAGCTCACAGTAACCTCAAACTCTTGGTCTTAAGTGATTCTCTTGCCTCAGTCTCCCAAGTAACTGGGACTATAGGCATCCACCATAATGCCTGACTATTTTTTGCTTGCAGTTGTCATTGTTGCTTAGCTGGCCTGGGCCAGGCTCGAACCTGCCACCTTTGGTGTATGTGGCCAGCACTCTAGTCACTGAGCTATGGGCATCAAGCCTCTCGTATCTCTTTTATTAAAATATAATTTATTATTAAGTGGGACATGTTGCTCTTTACCTTGCCTTTTTCACCTGCCAATATGCCATAGATATCTTTACCTGTCAATGCATACAGATGTGACTCGTTCTGTTAATTGTTGTGTAACTTTTTGCTTTGGATACACAATAGTTTTTCAACCAAACAATATTGATAGATACTTAGAAGTTTCCTAAACATCCTTAAATACTTCCTTTATCACTGTAGTCTGGAGCCCTGGGTCAGATGATATGCAGACATTACCTTTTAACACATTTGATAATTGTGTTATCACACACAATTGGTCAGATCATTGCTGGGTCAGATGATATGCAGACATTACCTTTTAACACATTTGATAAATCACTTTCAACTCATTGAACAATCTCTTATTTTGATCAATGGCTTCTGAGAGTTCTGGTTTTCTGTACCTTCTCCAGCTTCTGATGTTGTCACACTTTAAAATATTGTTAATTTTCTGGGCAAAAAACAAATCATGTGAAACTGTTTCAATTTTTACTTCTTATTTTCATAGAAATGTAGGCCATTTGCACATGTTCTTCTGTGAATTACATTTTGACACTCCAGTCATTCTCAGAGGTCTATTTGTCTTTTTATAACTTGTTGCTATAAGGCTTGTGAGTATTAGGGATATTAACACATGGCTTTTTATGTGTTCCATAAACATTTTTCCCTTAGCTGTTAATCTTTTGTCACAAAGGATTTTCACGTTTGGGTAGTTACATTGGTTAACTTTTTCTTTTTCTTTAATGGTTTCTGGATTATTTTTTTATTAGTTGTTTCAGGTTCATTGAAGGTACAAAGAATTAGGTTTACATCTGTTAGGTAAAGTCCCTTTTATAGTTGTGTCCCATCCGCCAAGAGGTGTTCCATACACCTTAAACCCCCCATTGCCCTCACTCCTCCCCTCCCCACTCCCTCATTCCCTCATCCCCCACCTTGAATTGGTTTGAGTTTTTCTCTTATATGGGTATGTATGAGATTGTCTCCTGCCTTCACATTAGAATTGAGTACTTTGGATTCTTGCTTCTCCTTTCTTGTGATGCTTTACTGAGAAGAATGTGTTTCAGCTTCATCCAGGTTAATATAAAGATGTAAAGTCTCCATCTTTTTTAGTGTCTGAATAGTATTCCATGGTGTACATAGACCAGGGCTTGTTAATCCATTCCTGGGTTGGTGAGTATTTAGGTTGTTTCCACATTTTGGCGATTGTAAATTGAGCTGTGATAAATAGTCTAGTGCAAATGTTCTGTTTTCTGGATTTCAACCGGCTTAGGTCTTTCCAAACCTGATATCTGTATCTATATCTATCTATATCTATATAAAACCATTTTCTCCATATTATGTTTCAATGTTTTCAATTACTCTAACAGTGATAGTATTATTTTTTCCCCATGAGAACTTTACACACAAAAATGATCTATTTCTTTTCTCAGTGGACAGTCCATTGTCTCAATGCCATTTAATAAAAAGTTCATCTGTTTCCATTGAATTAAAATACATCTTTGTCATATTTTAAATTTCTATATATATTTACATGTGCTTCTGAACTCTCAGTTTATTCTATTTATGCATCTTACCATATTTTGATTATACTAGTATTTTAGTGAGTCTTAGCATCTGGCATGGTAAGCCCTATACCCAATTTTTTCCCCTAAATGTTCTTGGTGATTTTTATTATTTTCCTTCAGAAAATTTAAAATTGTTTTGTCTAACAATTTCAAAAACTAAAAACAAAACCTTTAGAACTCTGTTAACATTAAATATGTTTATGAATTTGAAAATGATTGGCATCTTTTGCTATTAGGTTTTCCTATGCAGAAATATATATTCCTTTTTATTTATCCAGATCTTGTTTTATGTCTGTCTATGAAATTTGGCATTTTATATAAGCATTTTATCTCTTACTAGAATTTATTCTTAGGCATATATTATTTATAAAACTATTGTTTATAGGGCAGTTTCCCCATTTCTATTTTTTTGTTGTTGAATTAAAACTACTTTATTTTCTCCATTCAAGAAACAAAACTGACTTTTTATTCAAATAGACACAATTTTAAATTACTTTGAGATTAAGAGTTGATGTGAAGAGTGGATGTTATGTTTAGCGGTTGAATTATTCTTTTTAAATATTTATTTTTTTAATTAAATCATAATTATGTACATTAATGCATTTAGAACTAAAATGTAGTTTTGGCTCTTTTTATTTTATTTGGGATGGACTATGCATTTTTATCTATCATTCTGGCTTCCTTCAAGTAGACTTTGTAACAGAATCATATTCCCTCACGCATTTGCAAATGTTTGGTGAGTGATTTTTTATCCAACTGGTGGAAATGTGAGATAATGCTCATTCTACTACAAACAGCAGGATGACTACAGTTTTAGGCCTTTTGAAATAAGGCATGACTCTCTCGCCAAGAGCAGGCAAGAAGATGCAAGTTATTGTAGAGTAAGAGGCTGAGGTTGTCTAAGGGTACCTCCCCCTTCCCCCTCCATCAACTATAGCACCATGCACCACCTAGGGTTTGCCTGCGCCCTGCCCTTTATTTTTTAATTTTTTAATTTTTTTAGAGTCTCACTTTATTGTCCTTAGTAGAGTGCTATGGTGTCACAGCTCACAGCAACCTCCAACTCCTGGGCTTAGGCATTTCTCTTGCCTCAGCCTCTCGAGTAGCTGGGACTACAGGCACCCTCCACAATGCCTGGCTCTTTTTTGTGGCAGTTTGGCTGGGACCCAGTTCGAACCCGCCACCCTCGACATATGCTGTAGCTGTTCTACTGGGTATTTGCATTACAGTTTTAATTTAATTTCCACACTCACTAATGGTGTTGAATGTCTTTACATGTGGCTGTCATCTGCATATCTGGTTTTGTAAATGTCTGCTGAAATGTTTGCCCATTTAAAAAACATTTAATTTTTTGGAGCAGTGCCTGTGGCTCAGTGAGTAGGGCGCTGGCCCCATATACCAAGCAGTTTGGCTGGGGCCAGGTTTGAACCCACCACCCTTGGTATATGGGGCTGGTGCCCTACTCACTGAGCCACAGGTGCCGCCCCCTATCATTTTTTTTTTCTTATGATGGCTAAATCATGTTCTAGGTGTTGGGGAGGAAGAACCCAGAAGTAATGTCTTTGTCACCTTCTTAGTATTTACATAAAATTGTTGAAAAATCTGTTCTTTACTAAATACCCTTTGCAACCTTGTAAAAAATTAGTGTCCATATAAATGTGCATCTACTCATGGACTCTTTATTCTTGAGTTTCATTGTTCCATTTATGAATTGTTTGTTTATTATAATTTAGTAATAAGCTTTGAAATAAGGTATTTCTAGCAGTCTCATTTTCCCCTGCTTTTCAGAGATGTTTGGGCTATAGTAGGTCATTTATGCTTTCATGGGAGTTTTGGAACCAATTTGCCAATTTTTTTTTTATTAATTCATATATACTTAAATCATGAATACATTTTTTTGTGTGTGATTCAATGTGTTGATTATTTGTACAAATTGGAGTGCTTATATCCTACTAATTAACATAGCTTTTACTTCATTTACTTAATCACAGTGTTAAGACATTTGTGTTCAATACTTGATAGATTTGACTTGTACCCTTGCAATATGCTCCATAGATGTGGTCCCACCATGAACCCTCCCTCTATTGAACATTCATCCCTGCCTATCTCCCTCCCCTTCCCTCCTTCATTCTGGGCTATAGTTGTGATTCATCTCTCATATGAAAGTGTGAGTGATTATAAATTGGTTTCATAGTAGTACTGAGTACATTGGATATATTTTTTCCATTCCTGCAATACTTTACTAAGAAAAATATTTTCCAGCTTCATCAAT